CCACCCCAGGCCCCCACCTGTCTGTCGTCTGTAACATTGCTTTTTAGACAAACAGGATCGAATCCAGCCTACAAGCTACCTTAAAGATTGGTTAAATTAAACGGAATGTTTGTTGCCCTGGCCGAGTAGCTCAGTTGGTTAGAGTGTCGTCCTGACATGCCAACATTTCGGGTTCGATCCTCGGTCAGGGCATATATAAGAATCAACCAATGGGTGGCTGGATAGGTGGAACAACAAATGGATGTTTCTCTCTCTCTCAAATCAATAAAATAAAATAAAAGTTAAAAAAAAATTAAACATGGAACGTTTGTTGAGGGCCAAGTACGCACCAAGCGTTGCTGTGTATTCCTCACACAATAATGTCACGGAGTGAAGAAGCTGCTGTCCAGTGTTCAGAGGCAGAACAAAGCCAGGAGAGGTTCATAGTCACCGTAACATCCAAGAACTCACGAAGTGGACGGGAGCTCAGCCGGCCGGCTGTCCATGCCCTCGCGGCTGGCACCAAGGGGGGCTGGTCCGCAGCTATTTTAGATGCCCTGGAAACAACCCCGGCTCCCCCGCCTGCCACCTCTGTTACTCGTTTATAAATAAGCACAATGGATCTCTTCAAGGTTTTTAAAAAGAGTGAATGAGTTATAATAATTTGTAGCATTTCACCCAGTGACTGGCTCCTAGCAAGTTTACCAGCGGTTTTGATGAACGAAATTAGAGCTCATTTTAAAAACTTGCAAAATGGACTTATTCTCCCTAAGCAACTGCCGTTTCCCATTTTCCACCTTCATGCATTTACTCCTCGGGGTTTTCTTTTTGCCCCTAGAATCTGTTTTGGTTCGGCATGGGGAAGGCTACCATACTTTTGCTTCCAGCTATAATTTTTGCCGTGAAGCTGGCCAAGTACTTTCGGCGGATGGACTCGGAGGACGTGTACGAGGAGTGAGTACACGCAGGCGGCTCTGGGGCCGGGGCCTGCTCGCTGCTGGGATGAAACTCGCTGGTGGGGTTTTGGGGGGGGGGG